TTATATTACTGATTCCAATAGTTTGTGCTTATTTTTTTTACGAAAGGAGATAAAATGTACGTGCATGCTCCAATTCGTAAAATTCTTAAGATCTTTGCAATTCATAATCGAAATCGACGTCGCCAATGGAACATGTGGATGTTTGTAGGATACAGGTAATATTCCTAAATCGCAATTCGCGAAGAACGGCAGAAATATTCGACATGTAGTGCGTGAATTTTTGCCTGCATGCGCATCTGTGTGCGAACTCAGGTTTGAATATGAAGGGCAAGGAAGGATCTAAGAAGGGAAGGAAAGGTGCAGGAATCGCCAACACATATCTCGATATCTCACAATTCGATCTCTCGAGTCGGCCGCTCGTATATTTACATGTATAATTTATATATCCCATGGTCCGAACATGCGGTACGTCCAACCAGGGCTGGCCCAGGGCCATCCTTATGATCGTTCTGGGACATCCGTCGAATCCCATGCGAGCTATCCTAATACGGAAAGATATTGTAAGAAGGAGCCCGATTCGAGAGAAATCTGCAAGATTTCAGTCGCGTGGATTCCCACGATCGTTAGACGAAATCGATCGATCGGCTCGAAAATCTCCTCGAAAATTCTGTGTGTGCGTTTTTCGAACGACACGCGTTCTTCTTATGCTTAAACGCGCCAAGCAAAGTTAAGCCGGTTAGACGGGACAGATGCGATCATTATTTTGTACTTTCATTTTTGCATTGAAATCTGATTTTTATTCGCGAACATTTCTTTATGTAAATTTGATGATTAACATGATGCTTGATAGACGTTTAGAGTGCAATAATTATGATTCTTCTGATTTGCATACTATTGTCACCAGATCACCTGCTATTAATCACTATAATGATAAAAAATTTCATCCTTCTTATGTTTGTTGTCTTATAGAAAAAAGTAACAATTGATTCTCTTGTCGTTTTAATATTTTGTATAAAATTTTAAGTGTTAATTTTAAATGGGTTGCATTAAAAGATTGTTCTAAGCTGCAATTGCAATAATATCTCTATAAAGCAGAAATAGTAAGACTAAATAAAAATGTCTAATAACTTACACTGTAGGATGTTTTGCGCGATTCAAAGTGATAGTCCAGATGGTAAATGGCGCAAATATCATATACGAGAGAGTTGATATTTTCACATTACGCGAGGTAGATTAACACACGCGGTGGTTTGCGGATTTCGCATCTATCTTATCATAACGAAGGGCAATATCGTTAGGAGATTTTCCGCGATAAGTAGCGACACGACCAATCTAATCTACCTGGACGCGGATTATGAGAGATGCGAAAATAGCGGTCTTCCAGATTGCGTTTTCAAATTATCCATGAACACGCGAGCCTGCTAGGAGTTCCGGCGCGCGACGCAGATGCAGAAGACGCGTGAAGAGAAACGAGATGGGCTTTAATTAAACGAATTCCATAATACGTTCTCGCGCGTAACACGGCCGTGATAAGGATTACCCATCCGGGCTCGACGACGTGGTGCGGTCATGAGATATTTTTTTCCGCCGCTGCAATGCAGCACCGAGAGTCGCTCAGGCTCTCCCTGCCACCATTGTGGCCGTCAGGGCACGATTAATTATAGCGTATCCACAGAAGGAACGCATTGTTGCGTCTGTGTTGTTGAACGCTCGCGTTGCGTACGCCTCCTGGCTATGCGTCTCGATACTCTCATGTCTTTCGATCATTTTGCGAAAACAGCCAGTCTTAAAACTCGTTTTCAAGGGCAATGTCCGACACGTTTCTTTAATTAATCAGAGATAATAAGTTATAGATTACAAATATTTGTAGAATACGCAGAATTTCTTCTCCGAAAAATGAAAAATATTGGAAAATATTTAAGCAGAGGTATGCTTTTGGTACTCAGAGACAAACAATGGTAACGACTGTAAAGGTGACAATTAATTATGTAAGTTTCATATGTAGAATCAATGTATAAAGTTGAATAAACTATTTCATAGTTACAATAATTATAAAATAGTTCATTCAACTATGTAAATTAATTCTACAAATACAATTTATATACATATAATAATTGTCACCTTTATAGTTGCTATCATTATGTCTTTGTTAATTAGCAGTTATATAAAAAGTGACGAGACAGTCACATTTTCAACTAACGAAAATAAATTAACAATTGTATGAACAATCTCTTTTTGATAACGAACTTTATTTCTCTTTATGAAGAACGCAATAATAGGATTTCTTTTATTCGCATTTTCCTCAGTTAAGCGCGCAGTAACTAGAAACTTGGAGAATCGAATAGTTCTGAAGTTATTTTCATACGTATACGTACAGCGAGACACGTTTAGGTGAGCGCGAGCATTCTCGTACGTTTCGAAGAGTGTTCGGTCGATTGTATGTATATGTGTGCGTGAGCACAGGTGAGTTAAAGGTGAATGACGTGAAACGTGCACGGGAGAATCCCGAGGCGAAGCGAGAGAACGCGTCTTCTCAGGTTCGTGTCTCGACGTGGAGAACAATCGGCTTCGCTTGAAAAGGTAATTAAGAGAACACGACGGCGACGATTAAACGATTCCCCGCCGAATCGAGCGAGACGAATTAATTCCGCCGTCGATCGGGAATCGATAAACGATTGAAACTGATACATCGCCAAGACCGAAACCTATTTAGTGCCTGAACGATAATCCCTCGCGTGATATGTGAATAGGATTTCTCCAAGAAATTTCGTATACCATTTATGTTCAGTGTGTTACCAGAAATATTTCCCACAATTTATTACACGACAAGGTCACGAAGACAATTTTATTGTGAGCATTAAACTTCGTTTGACGTAATGCGTCTCTTCCGTCGCGTCGCCCGCTAGAAAAGAAACTTTTGTTATCCTAATTACTTTAACACACAAAATTCGACGAATCAGACAACGAAGTCAACGAAGTATATAGACATAACGAGCAGTCCATTAAATTCAGCCATTAAAAATATCATATGCGATTGGCCACTGCATTGTGCTAGTACAGCTCTTGTATAGAATAAAATACGGAAAATAATAAAATGCTCACCATGATATTTCGTACGAATATCATATGTACTTCGTTGAATACGATCCGCCGACTTCGCGGCACGGAATTCTGCAATTTTCCATAATCGAGGCACGCACGTGAAAACGAGACCTCATTTGCGCGCGGTAAGCATGGAAGGATGCTGGCTGAGAACGCTGTGGCGGCGGACGCTTAGAGAACGCGGACGGATGTAGCCGAGGGCTGACTGGCAGCCCCGAACGTCAAATTACGAGGCACCTGCTCTTCAAAACGACTTCATTTCATTCGTATCGTGTAGGTATTTCGAATCCGCCGTGCAGCTTCTCCTCTCGGTAATGTCTACAATCATACTCACGAAAGTACTCGATTAGATTCCGAATTAACCCTCTAATGCGTTAGAATCTCGTAGGACGCGCCCAAGTTTGCTTCTCGTGTAGCGAGTTTGAAATACGTACAAACCTCACTTTTTATTGCTTGACTTTTGTTAATCGGAAACTCTGTGGTCAATTTAAAATCGACTTCTTTCTTACCGAAAATGCCGAAATTGTTTACCGCAATTTCCCAATTTACAGCTTCATTTTCAATTCATTACAATTCATGTTATTTTTATTTCTTACATGAACTATCAAATTTAATGCAAGGTTGCTTTTGCTATATGCAATCTTATCCCATCAATGTAGTTGCAGTAATTTGAACAGAACGATGTTTTATGCGTTGCCGCCGATCACTCACGTAATGTAGGTCTGAAATTTCGCTTCCCCTTCTCTGATTGACATGAACGGTGGCAGAAATAATGGGGGTCCATTTTTTTTGCCTAGTACTGGTTGACTTTCGCGGGAACGTTGGGGCGGCATCAATTTATATCTCAGCGTGTTATTACTGATTGGAAACCGCAACGCGCGATTCTTCGTGCGCGGTATCATTACGTTTTTGCTTTACGTTTACCGAGTGGAAATCGAACGTCACGCCTGAGCCGATACCGTAAGATACTCGAAATATCCGCGTGCCATTTCAGGAAAAAGTTAACACATATTTTATTAATATTCTAACGAACGTAATTGCACGTTCAATTGCGGTTGTGATAGCTAGAAGTTGGATTAATTTTGTTATCGTATGATCGTATACTCTCTAATTTTCTTGGAGTGAAATCTTACTCCAAAAGAGTTAAATTTACTGCCACTAGTGAAGAAGAGTGAAAATCTGCCACTCTTATTCAAGAGTGCAAACTTTTCGCTCTTTTCCAATAGTCATAGTGTTTCAACTCTTTTCGAGTGAGATTTCACTCCAAAGAGAAAAATTTAGAGAGTAGGTTTTGTTGACTTCGTGAAAATAGTGCTTATTAATCGTTAATTCCGTTGGCTTGATTTTCTCTGGTCACTTACCTGTCAACCGGTTTATCTTCCGCTTGTCTTACATTGTTAAAAAAGTATCAAGATATTGAATACCTAGTATTTTATTAGCGCGTAAAAGCAAAGGAGAACGCGCCGCGATGCCGATCGATTCGCGTCGCTTGATCCGTCGATTCGCGTGTCTCGAAAGTCTCGATTGTCTTAACAGGACCACAAAGTGTGGCGACAAAGGAGTAAGTAGAGCGTTACTGAGCAAGAAATTCATTTTATCCGGAACCGGTCTCCGATACATCCGCCGGTTAAACAACACTTTTACCAAACGTGATCTTTTCAGTTCCTCTTGTACGGGTAAAACTTAAAACTGAGCACCGTGAAACACACTGTCTTGAAGAAATTTTCGAGTCACGACGACAGTGACGAAAAATTTCACACTTTCGTCCCCACTGATCTCCCACCTCCGTACATTCCTACTTTTTTTTATTACAAGGACAACTTCCCCTCACATGAAACGAGTTAAATTATTATATAAATACTACGCAAAGACTCTCCTCGTTCACAAACAATGCGAACGCGCGTCGATATAATTATCTATGTTAAACTTCTCACCACCTGTTTTGAAAAGATCATGTCTTAAATATAATCCGAAGGCACTGTGTTCTCGTTGATTGCCGCTAGTCTATACTGCGGCATGTCCAGATTCTGTGGATTTAAGTGCAAGTTTGTTGTCGTTGTTATCGTGGTCGTCGCCGTCGCCGTTGTAGATGGTACTGTCGCTGTCGGCATTTGCTGATTCGCCGAATTCGAGCTGAGATCGCTGTAATAGGCACTGCTAGGAGCACTGCTCAGCATTGGCCCATCCGGTTCGACGTCGCTTCCGGTATACGCCGTGTTCTGGTACGACGGATGCTCGCTGTTTCTGCTACCGATCCTCAGTTCTTGGTGATGATGGTGATGGTTGTGGTGATGATGATGGCGATGATGATGTTGATGTTGACCCGGTGGCACCGGCGTCGACGGTCCATTCTCGTACATCTCGTAGTCTGGCTCTTGTATCCTGGAAGTAGTCGATAACGAGGCTTTGGATAATCATTGGATGATCATTCGACTGGAATGTGCCATTAACATACGTAAGGCGTATCGACCGTATCAATAACTGCCAATTACGCGACGACGCGTGTCGGATGAGCGCGTTGTTAGAACAGGCAATTAGGTTCTCTTAGAAGGCGTTGCCAGAACAAAGTCAGTATTGAGCTCGTTATCGATCTAGGAAGTCAAGAAACGATAGACCATTGCGTATGATTACTGACTTCCGATTTGAAAATCGACGTGCCTCATTAATCGATTTAAAAAGTCAATTGACAGTAAAATATTCTATTAGATATTTTTCTAATAACAATTTTACGAAATGTAACAATCATCAATTCCTTTATCTCTTTAAAATATTCACAAATTCATTAATTCATAATATTTATAATGTAGTTCTTTTATTTAAGACGACCAATACATAATTCTCATTGTACACGGTTTTGTAAAGTATTTAAAAATTTAACTAGATACAGATCTGAAAGTAATTTTATTGGACCATCAAAATATATGTACAAGACACTCAAATTGCTAGAATGTCAAAACTTTTTGCAGCATTACTCATCATGCTTGAGATTGCTACGTAATTGTTTTGATGATATAAAATTATTTTCGGTCTGTATCTAGGCTAAATTTTTAGATACTTCAATAAAGTTCTTTCCGTGTATTTAATAACGTCTATAAAACTGGAACATTTAACTCACCTTTTACTGTGCCGAGTACGAAGTGTATCTGTCTGTAACGATCCGTCGCTGCCTCCATAATGACGATGTAATCTGGCAGCGTCCAGTTCATGATATTCGTCGTCCTGGCCGCCGGAAGTCGTACCGTACATCGAGCTTCCTCTCATTTGTAACTGTAAATCGCTCGCGTAGCTCGCGGCTTGCGAGTCCAGTTCCGCGTATAGAGCCTCGTCGGTTTGCATGTGGGTGTAGTGATTCTCGACTGGGAGATTTATCGCCCGTCGGTGCTGAGGAAGGGAGAGCGGCGTCGTGACGACTCCTGGGGTGCCACCGCCTCGTCGAGAACCCAGCCATGACCACACGTTGTGTCCTAAAGTTCGATTTCATCCACAACTTGAGACCCATGCTGATTAGTGTATTTTCTTAACATATCTTGGCAGCATGTTAATGATAAAAGAACAATTACTGCGACCTACGGTCTTAAACATGAGTTTGTTCTGTTCAGTTAAATTTCTTACACAATTTATCCTTTCTCTTTTTCTTTCCAACGTGAAAAGGAAGAGAGGAAAGATGAATCGTGCAGAAAGTTCAGTTAACAATAAAAAGAATAGATCTATAAGTGAACATGATTTTATCTAAACAAAGGAGTAAAAAGAATTGTTTTTTTTTTTGTAAATTGTTTTATTTTATCAATCAGTTAATTTTATCTTTCAAACACGAATTCAATTTCCTTCTAAAAGGTACACGGAAAGAGCGAAAGATCTTTTTGCAGAAATATCTAAAAATTTAGTTATATATAGATACAGATCTGAAAACGATTTGGTTGGACTATTAAAATAATTATACAGGGCGTTCAAATTGGTTGCTAGAATGTTAAAACTTTTTGTAGCATTGCTCTTCATGCTTGAGTTTCCTACATAATTATTTTGATGATCCAACAAAATTATTTTCAAATCTGTATCTACCTACATTTTTAAGCGCTTCAGCAAAATCAATCTTCCGTGTAATTATCAATTATCAGATACGTTTGATTTATGGGTTCATTTTCGTTCTTTTTCGTTACGTATTCAATATTTTGCAATGTTTTATTACAAGATACGAGTTTGTTTCATAATATACGAGATTTTACCGAGCTAGTTGGAAACATCGTTGAGAACAAGTCGCGAGATCCGGTTCTATATAAGCTTAACTTTCTTTTGCGAACGAAATGAGACGTACAGTTAGCGAGAGACGGTGCTACCGCGTTCGCGATCGCAATACATGTAACGTGACGGGAACATGCGAGTAACGAGCGGTCATTTCTCAATGATCTCTCGACGGCGCGTGTGTACGAGAATCGCATATGTATGAGAAGCGTCGAACAGCAGGCGTCTCGTAATAACACTCACCGGGACTAGGCGCTACGTCGTGATAAGGCGGTAATTTGTCTAATTCGAGAGGCGGCCGATCGGGTATGACGGCCACCCCGCCGCCGGTACCACTCGCCCCCGTGGGCCCGCCGGTATCGGGCACGCTGGAATCCTCCACGCCGACCCCGCAGCAACTCGCTAGAACAGAAAAGGGAATGGGGACTCTCACACACACGTTACTCATTGCTCTGGAAAAATTCGTTGGCGCGTCAATGCGAAAGTCGTTTAGCTCGGATTTCCCGTTTCTCAGGGCATCATAGCCCTTCGTTCGGTTATACCAAGATCCGCTTGAATCCACGGCGGGACGTGTTTCTCGCGCCGAAGCACGTGAAGTGCCAGGTGAGGTTGGCCCTGAATCCCGATACGTTTACGGCTACACGTGCACGTATACACCCCATGCGCAAATATAAATAACTGCCCCCATGTGTAGAACGGCGACCGAACCCGAATCACCGCATTATGACATGCGTTCGCGTACAGAGAAAAAAACCGGCTGTCTTCTGTATGGCCTTATTGTGAGCCTGTCATAGTGCCGTCACGGGCCTTCATAGAATCGCGCCGAGGGTTGTAGCATATCAGAAGGTGGGGCGGGTGGTTGAACCGGGATAGGGAAGAGAAAAAGAAGAGCGGCCGAGAGGCGGAGAATGGAAGAGAAACGGGAAAGGATCTCAAAATTCGTGGATCAGAAGTGCCGCCGCAGCGATAAGTGGGCTCATAAGAGTGCTGGAGGTAAAAAAAAAATGAGATTATAGGAATCTTGTTTTCTTTCCGTATTCCACTCTCTCTCTATCGCTCTCACCGTGAAAGTGATCTCATATCTTACGTACTTCTCCTAATTCCTATTGTACCTCGAAAATCTCTCGCCTATTCTGAAAGGCACGTCGATGTCACTCGTCGAGATATAAAGGACCTCTGATTCATAAGACGTTATTCTCGTATATACCTATTTTTAAATGAACATAATCCATGACGAAAGGTGTGCAGGATATACTATTATATTTATACTTCTCTCCGAAAAGAGAGAAGCTGCTCCGATCGCGAAAGTGATCGTAATAACGAGCTTCTTAATGATATGGTTGATGGATGCGTTAGAAATCGTTGGTTATCCGACTCGAACACATCACTTTCGCTGTCTTACGTTATTTTCATGAAACTTGACGATTGATAACTTTAACCTTGACACGTTCGTATAATTCTTTCGATCTATTTGCCCTATAGCCATACTATTTCTATAGATGATTACTTCGCTTCTAACTTTTTTAAGAATAAGATATTTGGAAGCTTGTTTTCACCGATTAATCAAATCTCTAAATTTCTCCCTATTTATTAACTGAATAAAGGCTAACGATCTTTGAAAAATAAAAATATTTGGTTTCTGATGCATAAAAATGAAAGATTTTAATTTCACTATTTTATTTATAAATACAATTAGTTCACGATTTTGTTATCAAATACTCGACTAACAGACTCAGTTCGTTGTAAAATTTATGATTCTAGATATTCTATTTCCGCAGCGCCTAGCTTCGTTATTAGCTCGAACCGGTATAGCATATTTTGTACCCTTCTATTACTGCCTCAATCTAACGCGATTAGAGTTGTAATAATAAAGAGGGAAATCCGTTATATCTCTACAATTATGTGTGACTATTCTGTTTAATGCTTCCAGTTTGCTGGATGTCATCGATTAATGTCCAAATGAAAAGTATAATCGCATTTATTTAATAACAGTACACTGATCTCGAGCACGATTACAACTTACGACTTAACATTCCGCTGCTAATCTGCTTATTGCGGAAATGGATCAGACACAGGACAATTTATCCTCCCGTCATTTCGCAACGGTATTGAACTAGTTCACATTGCGATTTAACCAGTGTGACAAAATTCCGACTTAATTGTACCGTGACACGTTTTTTATCGCCCGAAGCAAGTTTCTGATCATTTTTCTTCTCAATTCCTACAATGCGTTCTATTTTTTCTGAATATTTAAGATTTCAATAGATATCTCGTTTTTTTAAATAAGAATCACTGCATAATATGTATAAAATAATGTTCTATTTATCAAAAACTTTTAATCATAAAGTAGTAAGCAATTAGTTTTCGTATTATTATCATAGCATACGGTAAGATGGATACAATTTTAAATATGGTGCAATTTTGAACGAAATAAAGTTTGAATTTAATTTTCAAAGTGCAAATTTGATATTCTCATTGTATAGAAGATACCAAAAAGGAAAAAATCAAACGTGAACTCGAAAATTAGATTCAAATCTCATTTCCTTCACATTTGCATCATGTTTGTTTATTATACCGCCTTACTCTCAACTTTATTAGTGATAATATAATGCATAAAATGTAAGATAGTTTTGTTCAACTAGCGAAAATATATTTGCGCATATATGAAGATTGTGGCGGCTTCATCTCACTTACGACATATTTTTTATTTTCCGTTCGTTCTTCGAGATTTTCACGCCGTCACCTGCGGCATATCAATTATCAGAATAGATAGAGAGAATATTAATTGGGTGATACGTGAAAAGTGTGGTGTTGGAGAGCATGTCGTGACGACGGGGGGCAAATGTTACACTCTTTCGTCACGATCAGATAGCTAAAGGCTTGCGTAGACCTCATTTCCTGCCTTCTATTACTGTTGTGTCACGTGTAAGATATCGTGCGACAAGAATTTTATATATAATTTATCACGATTTTTTGTTCGAAACTTATATATAAGTCTGGATACTTTTCCTATTGTTTAAATATAGTGAACCTTTTTATAGATTAAACATATTAGAAATGATTTTTATTACTTCTCTTGATATAAACCTAAGTCTAATAGTTATATGTATGACATACTATTTCTCAGAATACTTAAGATTTTTTAAGAAGCTTTTGAAACACGAATCTTCGCTTGGAATAAATTTTAATAAGCTTTTTTTGTTACATATTTTTATCATTTAATGTTAAGAATCGCTGAAAATCTGTCTCTAAAGTTAAATCAATATTAAAATATTAAAATCAATTACAATTTTAACAAACTAAGTTTACTCGAAATTACAATGCAAGGAGTAAAAGGTTATAGAAGTATTGTTTTACGCAATACAAATATTGTATTTATAGCCAGGTTACTATCTTCATTTAATTCATTATATATACGTGACTCGTGTATTATTAATTTAGTCGTATAATTTAATGAAATAATCAATCTGATATAAAATTTCGATTTATACGACAAAAAGTTCTGAATATGATCGCGCGCGCGTTAATAAAATTATACGTGTTGAGCATATAGCATCTTAGTTCTTTGACGTATTATACATCGACTGATCCAAAATATCGTTCCAGTCGACGCGCGATAAGCCGATTAACGGATTCGATTCACCTTTTCTACTGGACTCCTCGATCGTCATTGTATCCAGAGGATCGCACAGCAATTTAACGTGTATGGAATGGACCCTCCGTCCTTTTTTGCGCGAAAGCAACCTCTTTCAGCCGTCCATTAACGCACTGCTCATCCGGTGGCACTTAAAGCAATTCTTATGCATGGAAGAATGTACTATTAACGAACTTTCACTAATTTATTTTTTGCTCGACAGGATATTCAATTATCTGTAATCTTATAAATTGTCGGCATGATAAAGCCATGTTTTTGTTAACTCTGGTTGAACATTTAGTTAGGCCCATTATTGATTTAAATTGCGAATTTGTTAGTTTTATGATTCTAAAATTACACATATGTATATCCGAAAGAGATACTAGCAACATTCAAATATTTCTAATGAACGGAAAATCTTATTGTACAAAGAAGACGTACAATACGTACGTTGAAGATGACGTTAGATCTCTGATGACAGACTTTTGAAAACATTTTATGAATAAGATATATATATATAGGTATATATATATGTATTTGTGTGTGTTTATACTTATATATGTCTATGCACATACATTTTATTCAATTCGATATTTTTGCAAGGGTTTACTCTTGCCATAGGAAAATGAATCGTTTATGATTATTTAAAAACAATATAAGATTTATTCTTTACAACACTAGAATATTATTTTGTCATTGAGAAATTTTCTCTTTTACATATACATATCATTACGCGATTAACAAACCCTATTGTTTTAAGAAGTAGCAATAAATCACCGCGTCTTAACGTGTAATTGTAGCTTGGTTGTTTGTGCGTCTCTTAGCAGTTACCCATTCTAAAACCGGACTAGAGAGTTCGTCCCTGGGGCGAGAACGACGAAATTACGCGTTCATGCGGGTTGCAAATTCAAATTGCTCCGCGTGGACCACCTTGGACGATTTTTTTATGCGAAAGGAATGAAAATTAATAATGTTATCGTTATCAAAAAATTTTGCTTCGGTTTCATTAAATTATAAAACAAAATTTTCAAAATATCTTTTCACTTACATATTTTTTTAAATGCTTTTACAATATGGAAAAAATGCGATAATAAAAAATACTAATAATTAAAAAAAAATTTTAATTTCTGTTTTTAAATATTTTATAGTTTGATAAAAATATCTTTTTAATATATTTCATATATATATACGCATTTTAAATTGTATTAAAATACAATACATTTTTAGGTATCAAAATAAACGTCTTTAAATGATGGATTGTAATCGAGCTAGTTTTAGAGATTTAGGTTCTACTACAAAAGATTTAAGCATAAATCATGCCACGAAGACCTGATAGTGAGGTTCAATGAAACGAGTGTCGGATAATTAATTCGGGTGACCCCTACATCTCAGGCAGTAGCACAATCCCCTTCTGTCTTTCCGCTCGCTCATCGTCTTTTTACGTCTACCGCCGTTCGCTCGTCGATCGTATCATGCCGCGGTTGATTTTAAATCAGAAAGTTAATTAGACACGTTTCGTTGTGTTTAATGTCGCCCAGCCGCAGCCGTCCGTCGCGTCACATCGCGTCACGTCACATTGCATCGGTTATATCCTTTAAGCACGACAGAGAACATGCAACACACGGATGTACGGTTTATATCGCTGTGAACGGTTTGCATTATATGCGAAGTAATTAAACTCCAATCGATGCCATGACGGTGTTGCTCCCTTTCCTTTTCGCGCCAACGTGTCCATCGTCGCACGTCGTCAACCTACCACCGTGCATGCACACGTTCTTGTACTCTGTTTGTATGAGGTCTCCGCGCACTGGTTCACTCTTTTCGTTCGAATCCTTTCACCGTCTGAAACCATGACTTTGTCGTACGTGAAACGGTGACATCGTGAGTGTCTACCTCCGTGAACACGAAGTAGACGAGATATCCCCTTTATTTCTCGATAAGATACACGACACCTTATAAGCGTGTCTCACGTTTTCAAAGTGTCACGTTTATCGATTCGATTGATTGTTGTTCTAGTTTTATAGAAGACTCTATTTTAGAGCTCACGCAATAAGAGATCGATATAATAAGCAGATAGTTTAGCAATATTTTACTTTACATTACCAAGATGCAATAATATTTTAGCTTAAAGTTAGTCGTGTTTCAGACGCATGTAGGTGTTCGTGCAAACAAAAAACCACTTTCATATTATATTTAACACCATAATGAAAATTTAAAGTTAATTAATAGAGTTAATCAATATGGTAAATAGTACGTCAAATCTCGCAATGCTGATATAACTTTCTGATATCACATCTCTTCGATTCGTATCCTTTGGATATAATTTTCTTAAAAACGTTTTCTCCATCTTGCCGTTTTTTTTTCTACGACTTGAAGTTTGTGACATGACAAAGCGTTCTTGAAGGTACCTTTTGTGGGGTCTCTTATAAAGCATATTCAAGATGGTATTATTGTGAATGTGTATATCGTATATTAACGCATGATGAAGAAACCAACGAATAAAAGGGACCCACGAGCAAGTAACTCAGTAGGGGAACTCGGTTAATTGGGAATCATTTCGAACCTGACCTGTCAGCGTGAACCCACCGCGCCGAACATGGTATGTTAATTCGACATAATTGGGAAGCTAGCCTGCCTCTCTCGACAGTAAATCCGGACCTTCCTTTATTCCCTAATCGTAACCCTATGTATCAAGTTCTTTTATGTGAATTATTTTTATAGACTGATTCATGTTTATACACGATTCATTTTGTACAAATCTACGTTACATTATGTTAAAAATCTGGCCGGTATTCATAATCCATTCTTATCCTCGAGACCTTCTTACATATACCTTCTTATTCTTAAGTATAATCTTAAGATGTCGTAAACTAATCGTAAAATCGTATTAATTTTAAGAGATTACTTAAGGCATTACAATCTTGATATAAGAACTGTAAATATAAATTTAATGCGAAAGGGTATAATCGATCGTAACATTTTGTGAAGTTATACGAGGGGAATATGTATATTTTTTTATGAAACTTTGCTTACCTCTGCCACCAGCACTTTTTATCCTGTAACAGATTAAACAGAAATTTCGGTGAATCCTGAGAAATATTTGTTATCAATTATTTGATAAAAATAATTATGATAATGATATACTTAATTTTTTAAAGAAATTAATTACTTTAAAATAACACACACACGACAAAGTAAGTGGAAGTATTTCATTAAACATAAGTCAACAATGATTATTTACACATATTTTGGGAAAATCAATTTATTAAAAATAAATACTCTAAATTATTCCATATATAAATCATTTTTTAAGTAAAAATTATAAGTGAAGAAACATGCAAGTTAACAATCTAGTTTAATAAATCATCTACTATGAGAAGAACGTAGAAGAGGATGAGATTGCGATCACGAAAACCCTCGTTTCCCAGCTACCTAGGAATTCTAATCGAGATCTGACCACAGTCATGATTCTTTCGTAATGGTGCTCGTGTACCATTTCCTTCCTCTCTTCCCGCCCTTTTGACGTCCCGTTATAGTCTGTCACTTGCTGGATTCGCACCGAATCAGTCTAGTTAGCGATCGCTTCATCCTCGTTCTTAGTGTCGATCGACTCGTTCGATTACGTATCGCCGGTAGGTGGTAATTTAAGAGAATCAACCGCGTGCAGCTGTAAGATGAAACCGCGATCGTTTCGCGAATCTGTCGGTGCGATGATCCGTATCGTAATGCTTGACCGTTCTTCGCGAAGCCTTCGAGAGAAGCATCGTCTCCGTAAAAATTGCACTGGGTAGCACGCAATAGAATTTCAATTTAAACGGCCATTAACTCTGATTGATTTTATTCAGCAATAAGTAAATTTAACAAGAGAGAGATAGTTAATTCCGTATGATGGAAATTTTCAATCATTTCTCTTTTCCCACTTATATTAATAAAAAAATATGCGCCTTTTCATGATAAAGTAACGATACTAACCTTCGACAATGTAAAAGAGTCATCATCACTACTGCACCGATACCGGCTGATACTAAAGACACTATCACAAGAGTCAGCACCCATCCAAGTTCTCCAGGAGCTTCTGCAAAGAAAAAGTAGAAGTTATATGTAGGTTTAACACATATATGTATAGGCACAATTTTTTTTTATTATAACTATATTGAAACAGTATAATAAATTAATATTTGATTTTCTTTCTTACAAATTTATATTTATCATAAAATAATGCAAAATTTCTTTAAAATTTAGTAGTTTAAGATATGCAATCTCACAACAAGAAATATTAGAAAACATTAAGAGCGAAGGCTAGTCAGAAAAAACTTGTAGATTTCTATATTTCAACGGTAATACATGCGTGAAGTATAAATCTGTTGTTGCTAAAAAGTCTGACACTTAAAGAATGCGTGGATTTGTCGCTGTTTTTGGTTTTAGTCCCGTCGCATTGTTGTAATTTCTTCAGACAAGTCCGGGCCTTTGCCAAGCATAAATATATGTGGACAACACGAGCATCATATAAATCGACTCTCGAGATCTTCGCGCGGTACGCCCCATAATTGGCTCACAGTCTCATCCGGCGCGTCCCGTTTCCGCGCAGCGGGACACCCGCAGGTTTATTAGGCGTCCTTCGCTATTATTCCTGCCGCACACCTACCGAAAGCATTCTGCGTCCCTTACCTATCCCACTTATCCCCGGTGAAATCGTTTCATCTCGGACGCGCACCAGCAGCGATCTCGCGCACCGCACTTAACGAGGCCTGAGATTATCGTCCGTGCGAACGTAATTAAGAGAATCGCACCGCAAGTTTATTACGAAGAAACAGCGCGGCGGCCGCGAGCGAGCATATGATGGAGACGATGGAGGTAGGTTCTTCTCGGTACGGATCGGCCGATTAGTCGGAGAATCGTTCTTCGGGCGCGACCGGCGGCGATTGAACGATTCGCGGTCGGCCGCCGATGATTTCTCGCAGCCTCCGTCTGAAGAGTACTTACACACTTGCCGAACGATTCCCGACCAGTTCTCGGTTGTTTGCATAGCCGTTCTTCGTTGAAACGCGAGCTTCGAGTGAGATAACTGCGCGCCACCGAGCGGTTTTCTTCCCTCACTCCACGCTCATTAGTCGGGTCTTATGGTTCGTCGTGTTATCGTGAAATATCTTAAACCCGTACAGAATGTTTCTGATCGGTCTTTACTCAAGGTCTTAATCGCGACGATTCCCTCCGGCCGACATGACTTTAAACATTGAAATGGAGATTAGCGACGAACGCTCGCGGAATTACAAACGAGAGAACGGGATAATTAGGTCCCGCTGATCGCAGGATTATCCGCGAAAGGGACGTCGTAACGCGCGCTTCGCATCGCTCCAACCGACGCGACGACTTCGTTCGCATCTTCGCTCATTGCAACGACATTAATCGCGTGCAGTTTTCGAATTCCGCCGAGCAGTGCTTCTATCTTAAGACCATCCTAAGTATGCTCGTTCGGAGAGGTAGATTCATTACGCTCTTGTCACGCGGCTTTCCGTGCCTTCGGTCTACCTACGCATATGTGAGTTTATATGTACTTCAAGTTGTCGACACTGCAATCGCTCAGGGCCCGGCGAGCTTGGAAAAGGGGCTTCCAAGGGAGAGGAAGTCGTTCAAGGGAGAAGGAGCCGCCCGTGATCGAGAGCTGGTACTCGACTCTGCATACGAATGCGCCGTTAATGCTGCTTCTTCACGATTGTAAGGTAGCTCAGGTAGCGATAGGGGGATGTTGGACAGGCCGACAAACTTTTCGAAGCTAATAATTTTTCGACAACGTCCGTAATTAAGCATGATTAAACAAGAAAGTAGGGAAGAGATTTTTTGCGCGGAATTTATAATTCAGAAAAAGAATTGAGTATTTCTGAATACGCGAAAGTTATTTTATCAGGTATATATAAATTATGTAAAAAATTAACATGTCTTTTTCTACATCTAATTTTAAAATATAAATAAATATTCTCGATTTAATTGTCTCGCAGTTTTTAAATTATCGTTTGTATTCTCAGTTAAATTATTTTAATTTTGTTAATATCTAGGGTTCTTCTATTAATCTATTGTATTTAAACAAAATCCATAAAAAACCAATAGATATTTCTGAATAAAATTAACTTGTCCTTGTGTGTATTGTAGTGGACGAATAGGAATAAAAAATTAGTTGGCTTAGAGTGGGATGTGTGCGTTTAATACGTCGACATGTATCTTCGAATTAAAGGCAACAAGTTACATTGCGACTAGAATGTCAAAAGGAAAGAGCGAAAGAGAGAAGAAATGGTAAAGTCCGTCTATCAGCGTCACGTTTCTGACGTGAACATAACAGCGTGCACGCTGCGGCTGATAACGCTTACAAGAGAGTTATCAATCATCCCGCGCCGAGATTGACCACCTAGACCAATGCGTGTTAATGTCGGCCAGCATGCGCGAGTTCCCCCTGTTACAGTTATCTCAGTAAATTGTTTTGATCTATGAACAGACCGAGCTAGTTAGGTAGTCTCTTCAACCTGTATGTCAGAGTTAATATCTTTTGTGAATCTTCTCTCTCTCTCATTAGCAACTGAAATTTTAATGATGTAGAAATTATGTTTAACTGTATATCGCATTTTTCCTTTTTTATTTAGGTTGATCAAGTGCAAACGTTTAGCAAGATATCTTCCGTAATGTATTAGATCTTATCTTAACTCTCTACTGGCAATGTTGAACTTTTAAAAGCACAGTTGATTTTTGTCTGCTTTATTGCATTCTGGAGATATGTTATGAAATTATTTGAAATAGATTCCGGTAGGAATTATTCCATTTTATTTAGAAAACACAATAAAAATCTAGGGAATAATTGAATAATTCCTATTGGAATTCATTCCGAATTACTTTATAATACATACCTTGATAGATAAATTTGAATCTGTATAATACAATCTAATATTCCTACAATAGTAAAAATTATCAAACTTATTGAAAAAAATGTTTTTTCCGATTTTTATATAATTTCAAACAATATAAAAATTTGCACTGAAATTCGAAGACGCAGTTTGCGGAAAGGTGAACATTTCATTGTCAATAAAGGTAACTATCCTTATAGAAATCATTCAGGAATAGTGATGGTTACTTGAATATCGAATATCGAAATTGACATATTTTATTTTGACATAATCATAATTTTTTAAATTAAGTTTGTTTATATATAAACAATCACATTTATTAAGATTTACCATTTGCCAGTGATTTTGATTGATCAAATGACTATATTGATGTAATCGCACACTTTTTTCAGCATCATGATCATATAAAACACAATTTATCTCTTCTCCCTTGTAAGAAACCGCGATCATCCGCCACTGTTTTCGCGATCGAGCCGACCGCAACATCTGCTTCATCTCTTACATATTATCCACGATCGCGGTTTAATATACGACGGCGGCTTAGTGTACGCTCGCTTCATCGCTTTACCGTTTCAAAGGCGATCGACTGTTAGACATAAACGAAAATAAGAACGAAGCGATAAGCTTTTCGCTTAGAGTCATAACTTCTCTCATAGATGATACTATACGATCATTTAATCTCGTTAGATTCTATTGCGATCCATTGGAAATGCGCGGTTAAAGGATAGTCGTATTCCTTGTGCAATTTTAATCGTACGTGAGATTTAAAAAGCAGAATAATATATATACAACAAACATATAATTAAACACATATGTACATATAATTCTACTAATCTGGAGAAACTTTTGCCAACATCCAGAGAAAGGTTTCTTCGATTCAAAGAAATGTTCCTTTGCTGTTACTGTTAAAGAAAAAATTTCTTTGATTTAAATATTTATTTACAAGCATATATTTTGCATTGTTGACCAACTTTAGAGAATTTCATATTCTGTAATGGATAAAATGATACCAAAGAGGAAATAAATCGATCTTATTCTTTTTCATCGTTTTATTGACAAACGATAATTATTTATGTTTTTGGAAGAAAGAATATTATTAAGGAAACTTAAATGTTAGTAAATTTAAGTTTGTGTTACTACTAGTGACGCAAATAGATAGGCTTGTAATTTTACGCCAGTGTAGCAAACTTTATTTTTAAGAAAGTTGCTGTATATATGTAGTTCGACTAGCTTTGCATAAACATAACACGGATATCTGCAACAATGCGAGCGTCTTTTCACGTGAGGCCATGTTTCGTTGCTGTGAAAATACGTATATTTATTCAAATGAGTTAATAACAAAAATGGTGAAATGGATTCGTGTCACAATACTTTTTGGATAACAATATACGCCAACGGTTTATACACGCAATCGACAAACTTCGCCGATCAGTAAATTCAACGCTGTTCTGCCATTACGGTCCCTCAACCGGTCTTCGCATACCGTTAAAGTTTCTCATCGAGATTTTGTCGATAACCGCCTTCTCGTGGCATACTCAATATTTCTCTAGATTTCGTCGATAGTCGTACGCCTACATTCTTTATTCAGCCTAGTGTACGCGTTATATATGTATCGTATATATCTCGCGCGAATTCTCTTTTTACTGGTTTCGCAACCGCCTCGTTCCATCGAGATCGTTCTGCGATCCATTTCGACAGGTGGCCCAGAGTCCGCCTCGTATTTCAGGATTCCAGACTCCAATTACGAGCCCCGCGAATAACTGAGCACCCTCCTTCTCCCTTTCTTTTTTCCCTCGGGAAGCTTTCGCGACCCAGTCTGGGATCTAATTTCCGATTTGTACGGATTCGTGGGGGGTCGATATGTGAAACACCGAATCGCAGCACGTTAGCATACGTCCACCGTTTTTACACGTGGTCGCTACCACCAGCAACGTTCAAGTTGCTTCCGATTTTATTTTACACGGAATATGTAAAATTAAAATAAGGTTTACATCGTGATTATTAGAAGCCCATCACGCAGTTATTTATATGAAAATTCGTGTCATTCGATTATCATCGCTTATTAGGCGTGATTTATTCTGGTTATTTTACGGATATTCTGATTTATTCTACGTAGTTTGTTCTGCGCACGCTGTTAAGGCATTCCGTGAAATTTTTGTTGGAGCGGAAACTTGCGGATAACTTA